AATTCTATTATTTTCCTTTGTCTATGGGAATGGTAGTGTATGCTAATGAGTTTGAAACAAAAAAATAATAAAATTTAAATCAAAGATAAAAATTAGCCACAACATGTCAACTTTTGAGGGATTTATAACATTTTGGCTGTACAGGTGATCCTTAATAACTCCCTGTTCTGTACTCTAAAATGTCCATGAACTGTAGAAAAATTAGCATGTCTTTATACAAGTTCCCTTGCTACAACATACTATGTACATGTCAAAAATGTACCCGCGACACCATTGCTATACTTTTAATGTCTGATGCACAGCAGCCATAAAAAAGGAAAAATGTTTAATTTAAGGGTTTTCTGGTTGGACCCTGGTGATCTTAAGTCATGTTTATAAATTTTTTTAAATAAATGACATTAAAGGTTGGTACAAACACACATATGAATATCTAAATGCTAACACCAAATTCAGAAAGCCAAAACAACAATAAACCACAACAGTTGCTCACATCTTTAAGTCCCTAAATAACTTAACTTAAATTCTAAATACAACAAGACAAAGTCTCAAGGCCAAATTTCAACATTCAAGTACAAAAAGTAGAACAACATTTCAAGTGGTGCAGAATTCTTTCTGTGTCTCAATTGTAAGACAAAAATTCAACATATATTTATAGATATATGTATATATATTTTAAGTTTTTGGCAGGCAAAGGAATGAAAACCACTTGAATGATTAAAAAACCATGCAATGTAAAAGTGAGCACAGATACACACATATTACAAAAAAACACACACACACCAGAATCATGTTACAATTCAATCTGGAAATACAAACAAAACCAAAACATTGCATCAAAATTACCTTTTTTTTTCATCTTTCACTTCCAGAATACAGCATTAGACAAAACCATGAGCATACATCCATTAAAACTTTCTTTCGCTCGTTATTATTCACAGAGTTATTTGCAATAATCAATTAAGTTCACAAATCAGCTTATATAATTTGTTTCTTTTCGCCTCACCAATAGATCTACCCACTCTCAAAACTAAATTTAAATGAAAAGGTAAACAAAATAACTGGTAACCAACACTATATAACTTCTTTTCATTGAGCTGCTAATAAAAAAAACAATCACAGGTTTCCACGACAAGAAGGCAAAATATGACAATAGTTTAACTAAAAATGCAACTCTAAGCACATAAAACATAGAAGATTGTCCTACACCTTCCAGGGAACCACTTTTGAAAAATCACCTCTCCTTATCACAAAGAAAGGCTGTTATAAATATTCATGCATAATTTGAGTTCTAACTGGTTTAATTACTCAGGTTTGCCCAATTCTTTAGATTGACAAACTTAGCATGATGTTTCTGGTAATAGTTGGCAGCTGGAAAGCAGTAGTCTTATTCTCACAGACGTGTTAGATTTGACAGTCAGTATTTTGAAAAGTCATAAACTTAATGTACCTTCACCAGCTCATAAGATAAGTAATTTTTCAACAATAGATGTACATGTGATGAAATCTGAAGACCTCTTACCCTTGCACGGCGCTTCTCAGACTTTCTTTTCTTTCCATTTATGCCATTTTCTAAGCCTCGCTTTGAGCTCTTGTGTGATCGCCTTGTATCTCCATGAAGCTCTGGTTTGCTTGGGCCTCGTGACTGACAAAAATAACCATAAATACAGTACAGATTTATACATTGGTAAATAAACTATCTGAAAAAATTTCAACACCATTTTGTTCATTGACAGTATTATTAACATTATTAAAGCATATGCTAGGGTCAGGAAATTCCTGGTCTTTAATTAATAATTGAATTAATAGTGCTTGGAAATGTAATATGCACTGAATACAAAGTTGAAAAGATTTTTAACAAGTTTGGTTTTCTTTTCTTATTTTTGACCCCAGATTCTGCTAAAAAGTCTGGAAGAAACATAGAAATAAAACTGTTTTATTATTTTGACATTTTCCTTGACCTCAGCTTACACTTCAATAATTTTAAATGAATTCCAGGTTGAAATTATTTTTAACTACTAGTTAGGTAACTGATTTTCATTTTTTGCCTCAGAGTATGGTAAGAGGTCTGGAACAAAGGAAAACAGAAATAATGATTAAACTATTGTAATAATTATTACTTTGACCTAAGATTTACCACACTGTGACAAGATACTTGGCGAAACCAAACAACTGGAGAGCACTGACTGGCTAGCATAAGCCTGGATTGTTTCCCAGCTTGTACTGAAAAAGGAAACTTTGAATTTGGCTATTTCACAAGTTTGATATGGGAGTAAAAAGTTACTTATGCTGAAAATTCTGTTATTTAATGTTTAGATATATATATGTATATATCTGATCAGGGTTCAACATTTTCTGAAATAAATGTGATAGAAAACCACACCAGGACTTTTAAACTCTCACACAGTCTCTAAAGGCATTCCATCTCGGTGTAAATGCCCACCATGACGGATGACATAGAAGCCTTCACAAGAATAATTCATATTGATTAGAACCGAAAACCATTTAAAACATGGAAAAGACATTTTAAAAGCACTGTACCTAAAAATGTAAATTTCACTTGTAATTAAATATAATGGTGCTCACAGAGAATCACTAGATTTTAAATCTTGTAACAGAAAAGGTTAAGAATTGAGATTTAAGTATAAACCTGGAACAAATAGAGAACATAAAATTTAAAGTTTATACTTATATCCAAAGCACTTCAGCTGATAGTGTTTCAAGTTTTCATCAAGACTCGGCGATATTGAACAAAAAATTCCCCATGCACAATTTGTAACACAGACAAAAATATTTCTTTTAATTTTAGCAGGCCTGTCAAATGGACAAAGGCATCAATCTATCAAATAACTTGTGCCTGGAAGCATTCACATGCTTTGAGGCTCAAGAGATTGCCACAGAAACAGAGTATTGACTCAGTACTTTCAAAAATAGGCTTCCAAGGGATGCACTCAACATCTCTCGACAGAAAGACAGGTATATTGGTCTGGAACCTTAAGATATTGTTCTTTCTACAAACAAGGAAGGTCCTCTGGGGAATTAAAACACACACTAGTGGCAAAAAGGTACAAAATTAAACAAAGCTGAGTTAACAAGAAGAGAACGCAGTTGTTGAGATTTGCAGTCCGAATCGACAAACCATTGATAAAAACATCCCTGTGTAAGCTCGATCTCTCGAGGAATAAACATTTTCAAATATAAACTAATGATTTCAGTTCCACTCCGAATTATCAAATAACCGAATTTTAGTTTCGTTGATGCTTCTTCTAACAAAAGGCATATGCGAAGAAAAGTTAAGGAATAAGTGCGAACGAGGTGGGAACATTTTTAATGTGTATAAAAACAAGCTCTTTCAGATTCAGAGATCTCATGAATAGCAATCGATCGCTTTGAGTATTTTTTCAAAGTGTGGATCTTTGAAGCCTGGCAAAAGGCCATGATGGGCAAGAAAAATTTAAACATAAAAATAACACGGCTATGAGGTGAAGCTAACAAAGCTATAGCTAACAAGGGTGGAATGTTTGTTAATAACTTAATCCAATCATCTGCGAGAGTTTGGCTTGATCGGTCCTATTTTAATCGCTGAATATTTAATACTCCTTAGGGCAAGATGTTTTCACCAGCACTGAAAATTTAAAGAGGGTTCGAAAGCCACTTTTCATTCGAGTAACCGATTGAATATGCACTCAAGATATTTGTCTGTAATAAAAACGTACATATATCCCTTCGCTGCCGATTTTTAAGGTTTATCACTCAAGCGCCCGACAACATTCTTAATTTCTAAGCTGTGGTCAAAACATCCAGCGCCGTTAGCTTCGCGCAGCTTGAAAGCAAATTGCAGATGCACAGCTTTCGTGGCTTTATAAAGCACCCCGGAAGGAAACAAGCTATGTACAGCGAACGAAAGGGTCGATCAACCATGTTTTAGCAGATAAGGCACTCTGCAATTTACGCACACTTTTTTCCTGACACGCAAAAATGGCCTCCTTGGGCTATCGAGAATCATTTGTGGTCTCCTCGAGGTTTACTCGCTAAATTACAACTCTAAGTATCACTTGGAAACAATGATACCGAGACGACTACAACACGTAGGAAGTTGTTCATGCGTAGCTTTTATATATTTAGCGTTGATATCTCCTTGAAAATCTCTCGAAAAGGACCACCTCTCAAAATTCGGCACGAAGACAGAATAAGGTCGTTGAAAGACAAGTTTCTGACCACTCGGATGTGCGAGATCGCGGCGAACAACCTCTGAAAGAGCCTCGATTTGTAATCCTGTTTGAAAATCTACCAAATTAGGCTTCTATTTCGAAATTACAGATCAATCGAATATCTGACATTTATCATTGTAGGAAGTAGTTCTTGAGGCTGAAAGCTCGAGTGAATTGTTGCGAAAAGTAAACATTGTACGATCTCCATTCTTGGCCGCCCTCTGTACACAAAATGGTTAAAGGATGAGCATTTTCAAAACAACAGAACGAATCAATCGTATCCAATACTACCCAAACAACTCTCTTTCGCATGGCACCATTAAAATTTCCTTTAACTGAGCGGTTCCTACTTTGCTCGTTACAGTAGTTTGACTCGTCGCAAAGAAGTGTGAGAGAGGAGCATTTGACCGACCTGCTACTGTTAATAGATTGATAAAGAAGGCCGCAAATAATTAACATTTCTTCTTACCTCCAATGCCTCCAAAGACGAGTACGAAGAAATGGCAAATCCGTCGATAATATCCTCTTCCGGCGAAGTAGAACCTCGCCGTTTACGATGAGGTTTAGTTCGGCTTTTACCATTAGCGTTCACCGCGTGCGTAGCATCTCTGTCCATGTCCACTACTTCGCCGTTTTCGGCGGTTTTTGCATCTTCGTCGCTCTGAACCGCTTTCTTAACTTCTTCATCTTTCATTTTCACCTTCTCTGTTACATTATAAGCTCTCCAGCCTCTAGTGGGGTGGTAAAAAGCGCTCCAATTCCCTGATTCTAGTCAGCTGTTACTGGACGAGACAAGTCAACGAGTAGAAAGTGAGTGAACTGAGTCGAGTGTAGTTAACAATATCAGCAAGGTGCCTTTAAAATCCCTCAGGGGAGGGGAGGTAGCCTAGGTGAAAAAAATTAACAATTGTTTCCATTATATTAGTAGATATGGTCCCTTTGTTGTATTTCTAAAGTAATTTTATAGTCATTTAGCTCGATTTCAATATCCTAAGGATAAAGAATCCGCATGCTCGTGATGCACATTGATGATATCTTTAAGACCTTACACCCCTCCCCGGAGAAAATGAAACAGTTTTCCCGCAAGCATGATAGACAGCCTGTTGAGATCCCGCCTCCTTTGTTTCATGGACCGGAGTTTTGTGGTTTACAGGTCACAAGTAAAACACTCTTTTTCGCGTAAATTGGCCTTCCGGTGTCTTTTCCACACTTAACGGCAGTAGGGAAATTGCAGAAGCGCGGAGAATTTCCCGTTGGAAAAAATGTCCTTGGCGCTTTTTGACTACGCCTGCATTGTTTGTCGTAACTCCGCAAGCGCAGAACAATTAATTAAAGAAACACAACTCAGCTGTGTTTGTTTCTGTCGTTCTTCACAGATACCAACTATTTAAACATCCGTTCTGGAACAGCTAGAGAATGATGAAATTTTACCAAAACGTGCCGAGTAACTAAATTCTCAAAAAGCTCATTCGAGGCGAGAAAAAGTAGCTCTGACCGTCCATAAAATGGTTTTTCGGTTTTTTTGTTTTCACGGAACCAATAATCCTTCTGAAGGAACTAAACGTTTCCGAAACTGTCAAATTTTGGTTATGTTGTTTCATAAAAGGCTAATTGCCAGATAAATTGAACCCAAAACAGTTTTAGTTTCACACTCAGCCAGTAATTATACAGAAAGGCTATTAATTTTTATGCTTTCTCAAACACCATACTGTTGCGGCGTTTAGTGTCGGCGGCTTTCGAAGCGAGCTATTCGGCGATTTCTCGTGCCAAAAAGGAGGCATTAAATTTTCCGTTTATTCGATCGCTACGGACTATAATTTTTCGAATGTGATGTTTATTTTAAGAACCGCCTTGAAGCAATGCTCCCTATTAGTTTTGGCTACGGGGCGGACAAACAGCAGATAAGAAGACAGAGAGTTGCCATGCTTCACTGCATGATGATGTGCTAGATTGAAAGAAGACTATAAGATCAATGATCATGGTCGATGCATTTCCTGATAAAATCTAAAGCGATACTTCTAGTATGGATCTCTCTTTGCTCCTTTTTGCTTCAAAAAGTTCAAGAATCATTGCGATTAATTTGCTACCAGAACAAAGCAAAATTTCCACGAACTGACGGCTTGTGCTAACATGAAAAGGCAACGCAGCTAGTCAGACAGATTGAATAGGGTGGTTGTCCTTGATGTTTGAAATACATGCTTGTGATGGTCCAAATCTATACTGATACATATTCAGTGCGTTTCTGAGATGTGTTTTAATTTGTGTTTACTGAAAGCAAATACGAGCAAAATATTCGTCCGGTTCATTTTCCGTTGTCAAGTGCTTTTCACTTTTTTGATGTAGAATAGATTGATGAACCCGTCGATAAAGCGTGAAAAACTAACTGCACTTTAGGAAACTATACTAAGAAGGAAGGACATTAATCGATCGATGTGAGTTGAATATTTTGATGCTGTTTTATCACTTAGGCTTAATCAGAGGAGGCTTGGTTGAAAATGCCCCGTCAAATTTCAAAGGTCGTTAAGCACATTGTTAAATAAAACGGGTGTTTTTTCGACATCGAGAGGATATTTCTCTGTTTCAGTCAATGCATGATATAAGTGCTGGCAAAAGAATGCAAAAAAATAATCATGACTGCATGTCTCAGTAAAAAACGACAGAAATAAACCTGTTACCTTTTGTCAGCAAATTTAAAGGTACTCTCAGGTTCAGCTGTGAGACAAGTTTATTTTTTTAGATGCAAAATGTTATGTTGTCTGTTCCATAGAAAAAAATTGCTGTGAGTGGTACTGAATATGATGTGAAACAGTGTTAATTAGAAAAATGAACTCCGGAAAAGCCCTTTTTTAGAAAAAAAAAATGAATGAATGAAAAAATAAATAATAATTCTGGGCAGCTGGATTGATGAGTTTCCAACCTTACCGCATCTTTTTCTTTAATCTTCCGCAACAAAAATAAAAAAAATTACTTTGAAGGTCTTTGAGGGATTAAGTTAAGTTTTGTTAATCGTGTTTATTCTTTTAGGGCATTATAGTTTCCTGATAATTCCCGTAGCTGACCGATCAAGTGATATCTGACTTCACATATATCAACGGGGTATTTTTCCAAAAGTATCATTTTCCTTTTTTACCATCTTTTTTCTTTGCTTGCACATTTGAAAAATTTCATCATGAGATTCATATATTTGGTGGTGATAAATGTAACATAAAAGTAAATTTTTGCGAGCTAAAGTAAAATGAAAAAATCATCAGGTAAAACATTTATTACATTTTACGGTTACTACATTTTAAAAATGGTCTTTAAATGGAAAGGAATAGCTCGCAACATTCAAATAACAAACCGATTATATTTCCAGTGTTATTGTAAATGGGAAAGTTCAAATTGACCCGAAAGGTGAAAACAACAGTTTAAAATTAAATGAAATCCATTTGTTACCAAAGCGGATATTTCAAGCCTCTCTTTGGTTTCCATAGGTTTCCTTCAATTTTGTCGGAACGTGACCGACGCGAGAAATGTTTGTTCACACACACACCTTTGTGATTACTAATTGAGGCTTCCTCCAGTTTGGAAAAAAAAAAATAATGACGTAGCATTGACGAATTTAAGGTTTGCTCCATTCCCGTTCAATAAAAGTTTACATGTTGCTCGGAGACTGGTGAAAATTCGGGAAAATTTATGTCTATGAAGCGATTGTGTCGACATCATCTTAATAAACTTTGACTACGGGGAAAGTTAATTCAACAGCTGATTGAAATAAAATAAAATGTTTAAACTTCTATAATCCGCGGTTCTTTTAATATTGAGTAAGCCCGTTGTCTTTTCATTATCGCCAGTTGCAAAATCAATTTGGAAATAACGTCTCAGAAGAGACAGTTTTAATACCCACTGAATATCTGATATTTGCAGATGCATTGTAGAGATTATTAACGTCGTTTTGAGATGGTAATTTATGGTTCTTTCTCAAAGCTAAAAATCTTTGTTGGAGCTCATTAATATTTCAGTTATTTTTCACGGTTTCTGTTATTTAAACTCTAACCGAACAAATTTAATAAGCTTTTATGTAAAGTAAATTGAACGGAATTTTTTTTCAGTATTAAAAGTCCCAACCTGGTGAATATACTGACGTTGATAATAAAAAGAATTAAAACGAACCACATTCATTTGAATAAAAGTTCTAACAGTATTATTTACACATCCGATAAGTTGTTATATCATCAAGAAAACCTGCAAAGTAACACATGCGGACAATCTGTGAATCCTTCTCTGTTTGTGGTCCTTTGATGTAGACAAATCTCTTGCATACGGGAACAAAAGCACCTCATTAAATTTTCATTGGGCTATACTTTACGGACACTATATGAGTCAGTACCATTGTAAATACTGCGAGAACTGAATTGTGCGATCTCCTGTGCTGATGACAAACAGTTATGCTTTGAGGTGTGTTTGGACCAAAGAAGAAATTTCCCATTCGATCCGTCTCGCAACTCACCTGTGCACAGAGTCAATTCTGCTAATTACCTGCATGACTTGGTGGATTCATAATTTATTCTCCGTCGTTAAGTGCATTTGTAACCCTGCCGCTAAATTGCGTACTTGCAAAAGTAGAACAGAATAAAAATTTAACAGTTTTTTACATTGTAAGTACAGAACAGCTATCGAAAATTTTTATTTGAAAGGAAATGAAAAAAAACAAACAAAAAAAACCAGTGACATTGATCCTTACCTGGAAATTAAATGTATTGATTTAAACCACTGATTTTCCTACCCAATCCTCGAAACTGAGTCCGCCAGGCATGCTAACAACTCAAATTAACTGCATTTCGCTGGTTTAAAAAGTAATAAATTGTAAGTTCTAACACAATTTTTTCATCTACCTGGCAACTTTTGGCTTCTCTAAAGATAATGTTTTGACTGTAAACATGTTAAAATATAGCTCCAGCCTCTATCGGAACTTAAGACATTGATTTCGAGTCCCAGCTTTAGAACCAGTTTTGAGGAGACGCTTAGTTGTGTTAAGATACAACTTGCAGTGTTGAGGATAGGCTCATGGGACTTTCAAAATAAAACAGTCGCTTGTTAGTTAAATATAAACATTTAAGTATTCCCGCTCACTCAAAGTATACGTTTCCCTTGGCAGAACACTGCAATAGTCAATCTTGTTAGTGGCATCCTTACCACAAAACTATAAATGTTCAATTATAAGTAGCTTTTAGAAGCAGCAAAATGGGAAAAGTGCTAGAACTCAGGCGCTGTTTTACGTAGGCCAGGCGCTTTGCCGCTTAACTGCGCTGGTAGTGTGTTCCTGGCACAACAAGATCTGGCAAAAAAAAAACAGTGACGGTATGTGTGTGTAGCCGTACTGAAAAGTGACTGCATTATCAGTGTTGCGCGAGGACCTAGTTGTCATGGTTACGTCGCTGAAAAATGGAAGAACGTCATTATCAGTAGAAATCAAGGCTCTGATAGCCATAGAAAGGAAGGCTATATCAAGATATTCTTGCCACCATTGAGGGTCTCAAAGTGATGGAAGCATTCACGGCTAACAGTTAACTAAAACTGGCATTTCAATGGCAAACGGTTAAATTTCCCTCCCTTACGGTTATACAGACATCCGATGGAAGAAGAAAAAAAGAGGATTCTGAATGTTGACTTATCGTATCTTTGCCCAAGCGTTCATAGATTTTAGAAAATAAGAACCTCAGTTTCAAACTTAAGGGTAAACAGGTTCTTATA